TTTGATTGACCAGGTACAAAGTAATGGATGGTAGTTAGCTACATCAGAAGGCTAACACGTAATTTGTATCTGCATCTCAGAGGCAATGTCTTTAGCCAGCTAAGGGGAGGGCAGTGGAGCATCCAATGTCATGGGCATATAGCTATATATGGGCTAGTGTAACTAAATATTGATATGGGGAGCTAAGACCATGCTTTGTTGATAGCTGAGTGTCTTTATTTCAATGGATCTTGTGGTCATTGGGTGGCTGGCTTGAGGTCGTCTGTGCCAGCTGCCTGTGCAAAGATGGGATGGCATATGGAGGAAACATACACAGCTGAATATTTAGCCACAGATTGGAAGGTAATGGGCTGAATAAGCTCAGTTGTGTTATCTATTCTAGCTACTTCTCAAATGAGAGGGGAACATAAAAGAACAAAATGATAGTGACTGAAGGAATGAATGGTAGCACATTCAATATTTCATACATGAAATGGCTTATTTATGTTTCTAATATTCTAATATTTTCAAGTGTTCCATAGCCTTTCCTTAGAACAACCGCTCCCAAAGCAGTTAAGTGTTTCTGGGCATATTTTTCATTCTTACAACATTTGGGGACCCTGATGCTTTGGAACTCCACTCAGCTGCTGCTAAACACAGTAGGGGCCTAAATTCACCAAATGGGCATATTCAAAACTATTGAAATTCTGGGCCAGCGAAGCTGCTCAACCCCCAAGCTCATGCTTAAGCCTCAGCAGAAGTCACAAAGCAAGTCTTGCCTCCTTTTCAGGGGTAGGGGTGGATCCAGTGATCCTTATTCCTTCTGTGAGAGGATCTCATATCTGATTAACTTGAATCACTAGGGAAGATCTGCCTCCCCAGTATTGATATGAAAGCAGCCTGTTTGTTTTAGAACCACACCAAGAGACTATCTACAGGCAGTCCCCGGGTTACGTACAAGATAGGGACTGTAGGTTTGTTCTTAAGTTGAATTTGTATGTAAGTCGGAACTGGTACATATTGTAGGGGAAACTCTAGCCAAACATTTCTCCAGAGCTCAGTTTTATTCTCCCACACCTCACTTCCCTCAGTCCTTTATTCTCAAGCTGAGGTGTCTGCTGAGAAAAGCCGCTCCACCTCTCCCTGGTCTGCTGGGGTGGGGGGGCGCTAGCTTCGCATCTCCCTGGTCTGCTGGGGGGAAGCAGCTAGTGCGGGGTTGCCTCACCCCGTTTGTAACTAGGGATCCAATGTAAGTCGGATCCATGTAACCCGGGGACTGCCTGTACTTAGAACCTTTTGTTTCAGACTTGGTTCCCATACCAGTTTGTGGAAAAATACAGGTATCCAAAATGGAGTTCATAGTCTCGTGCTCTAGTCACATGCCCCTGCAAAGTTACAGCAACACTTACAGGCTGGTCAGAATGTTGACAGGGAGGCTAAGCAATTTCACATCCCATTGTCTTTGACTGTGGACTCCATTTTGGCTTTAGACAAGGGATGTATAAGAGTAGTCAATTAGTCGACTACCTGATAAGCTTAAGCTTATATCTGCCAATATAAAAAACAGCAAGGAGGGGGCGGGGAGAGAAGAGAAGCCAGTTGCCTCAAGATAGAGGGGAGGAGGGGCAGAGAGGCTGCTTTTGTCTCTTCGGCAGCCTGTTGCTCAGGGGAGGGGGCAGCCTGTTGCTGGCAGGGGGAGGCACTTTTCCTCTGCCCGGCAGCTCTGCGGGACCCCAGTCGGAGCCGGCCTGAGGAGGAGGAGGATCCTAGGACCCAGGTGAGCGAGCCCCGGGAATGCTGCTGCGCATGTGCGGGAGTTGCCTCACCCAGTTCGTATCTAGGGATCCGACGTAAGTCAGATCCACGTAAGTCGGGGACTGCCTGTATACACGCTTGTGCCTCACACTTCATTTCCCTAGATGTGTTCTGCTTGGTTACTAAGTGGCAGGCCTTTTTACCAACAGTGAAGGGTGGGGAACCCTAGTGGGCCAGTTTGTACTCAAACTTAGTCCTGTGTTGCACTGTTTTTTTCAGTTGGCGGCCCCTGCATGGAGCTGTGAGCATATATCTGGTATAGTTCACTCCGGTCTCTGTAGGTATATGTGTGCCAGGATCTCCCTTGCTCTACAGACAGGACAGGCTTCAGTGTGCCAGATTGCAGCCCCTCATCCAGATCCTCTTTATTGAGGTTCTAGCTGCACTTCTCTCCTCATTTGTTTATGCATATGCCAGTAATGTCCCCACAAAGTCATAGAACCTCCTTGTCAACGTCCTAGCTGTGGGCAAACAGACTATTCATAACATCAGGGAGAGGATGTAGGCCGAAGGGGGGGGGTCCATAACTGTGGGGCCTGCTTCAGTTATTTTATCTATTCACATATCCAGGTGGGAGTTCCTGTGGGCAGCATCTGCTAGCTCCCTCATTGCCTCTAAGAAGTAGAGGCACTGTCTGGGGTTCTCTGCTTGGTGTCCCTTTAGATTCCCTTGTTTTGACCATCACACCCGCCATAGTTTTCCTTTTTGTTATCCCAAGTGGATCCTTCCCCCCAGGTTGGGGAAGGGTCTTTTAGCTTTAGGCAAGCTTATGCTCACCATTTCCCAAAACTCAGACAGGACCAAAACTAAAGCAACTGGTTCAGTTATGAACATACTAAGGAAGCATCAGTTCTTCAAGGAGTTTCCCTGTCGGTGCTCCACATTAGGTACTTCAGCACCACGAGCCCATAGCCGGAGATTTGTGACGGCTGGCCGGCCATGTGCGTTCTTAGGAGGCTAATGTGCATGAACAGCTGCTCCCCCCTTCCTTAGTTCCTTCTCAACCACTGCTGGCTACAATCACAGATCAGTAGTCTCCCCTTCACCTCACTCAAGATTTACCTCTCTGTAAACAGTTTACTTCAGACAAAATCAGTTATCGTTTATATTCTTTAAAGGTTTCACTAGTGAAGAAAAGGAGGGGGGGAAGAAGCAGCGATTGCTTCATAATGCTAGCAGCGCCTATGAGCCATACGCTACCACCTACCCTCCGGGATATGCTGGGTTCGCCTGGATTCAAGAGGTGTACAAACCTCCAAACTGTTTCAGTTTGATGGCCACAAACAGTGCCTCTGCTGTCTTGGGCAACAGCATGTATCAGAAAACTGTCCACATTGACAGAAATTAATCAGCCACTCTAAGGCTGTCTATACTGCAGGCTGTGTGTGCAAGAACAGCTGTTCTTACGCAACAACTTGCAGAGCGTCTACCCTGCACGTGTTCTTGCACAAGTAAATTTACAGTACAGCATCAGAAAACAGAGCTTCTTCTGAAAGAGTTATTCCTCTCCCCACGAGGAATAAGCCTTCTTGTGCAAGAGCTCTTCCACAAGAAGGTAGTCTAGACAAGCAACATGAATTTCTTGCGCAAGAAACCTTTATGGCTAAAATGGCCATGAAAGCTTTCTTGCGTAAGAGAGCATCCATACTGCTATGGACACTTGCGCAAAAGCACATGACAGTGTGGACAGAAGCCTGCAGTGTAGACTCTTGTGGAAGACCTTTTGCACAAGAACTCTTGCGCAAAACAGTTCTTGCACAAGAAGCCTGCAGTATACACGTCGCCTAGGAGAGTGAGGGAGCTTCAATTAAAAATGCTCTAAGTAGAGAACAGCTCTAGCCCACCCACTGACCCTGATCAATCCACCCCTCCCAGATAGAGATCACCTAGGATGGGGTCAGAAAGAGTGGCTCCCTTCAGGTTGAGCCGAAATGAAATGGAGAAGAGTAGCCTTAATGAGAGGTCCTACTCCTCCTCTATTAAAGAAGTGATCAGTCCATACTAATGCTGCACCCCAACCCCAAACATAAAAGGGGACAGAAGCAGCAATCTAAAGGGACCAGCAAGGAGAAGAGCTGAGATTCCATACGCTGACAGATGTATGCAAAAGGCAAAGCCTCCTTGTCAGCACAGCTTGGGAAACCCATGCCAACAGCTGTGGCACAAAATAAATCATGTTCACACACGGCACCAAGCCAGAGCGTATTACTTGATGTGGCACCACCAGTATTGCAGAAACACACAGCACCAATCATTAATTCATTGCAGCCTCCATTCCAATAAATGTCGCCACAAGCACCTCCTGCCCTCTGTTACCACCTGCCCACCCCCACTTTCTCAGTTCACAATGGCAGCTGAACTGATGGTTCGTTTGATACCAGGGACAGCCCGTTTGGTACTGACAAATACCCCTAACACTCAGCAGGGCACTCTTTCAGCCACTCCAGCCAGCTCTGTAAAACAGCGAGCTTTAGCGATGACAAGGACAAAGTGTACAAATCTCATCACGTACCAAGGCATTATTCTCATAAGCCTCTGCAACAGACTTAGCAATGGCAGCCGCCACTGTCATGCCTAACTAGCCATATGGGATCCTTGGGCACTCAACAGACAACAATAAATTACACAGCCTCCCATGACACCACAGTCCCATTCATCAACCAGGCAGCCCAAAGAGCATTACAACTGAGACATGGAAAAGCAGGATGGGGATACCACAGGGGAAGATCACAGTTTACCACCTTCCCCACCTGCACATACTTTGGCCATGTCTACTGATGACATGATAATGCCTCCACCATCAACAGCAAGGGAGGATATTAAATCCTTCCAGGAGCTTTTCAAGAGAGTCGTAGATGCCCTGGAGATCCCCCTCTCAGATGCTCCGCAGCCACAACAAACTCTCATTTTACACACATCTCTTAAAGCAAAACTTGCCATCTCCATGAATGCGGCCCTCTTGGACACAGCCAATAATGTATGGAAAACCCTAGCCACAATTTCGCCAACTTATAAAAGAGCTGACAGAATACACCATGCAGCTCCAAAAGGAGCAGAATTTCTGTTCTCCTACCCAACACCAAACTCTCTAGTCATAAAAGCAGTCAAACAAAGAGGGAGGCAACAAAATATATGCACAGCTCCCAATGATAAGGATTGGAAGAGGCTGGATACCATAAGAAAAAAGACATTCATCAACAAGTTTGCAGATAAGAATAGCAAACTACGTTGCTTTATTAGCAAAATACACACACCACATATTGAGCAAATTGCATCTTTTATTGACTCCATCCCTGACACAAAGAGAGAACAGAGAGAACAGTTCAGAGCAAACGTTAAGGAACTAACACTAATAGCTCACGCAGCCCTACAAGCTGCACTGGACTCTGCAGACAGCAGCCAGATCCTTGGCTTCAGCTGTGGTTATGAGAAGGGCATCCTGGCTTCAGCTCTCCAGTTTTCCGAAAGAGGTCCAATCTACCAAAAGACTTCCCATTCGAGGGTACAAAACTCTTCACAGAGTCCACAAACACGTCCGTCCATACCCTGAAGGATTCAAGGTCCACACTCAGAACGTTGGGCATCCAGGAACCTAGTATAAAATGGAAACAGAATAGATCATTCCAACAAAGATACAGGCCTTTGTCGTTTATCCAAACAATGACCGTACGACAACAGCAGACCAGATGTCAGAGCAGTCATCCGCACAGCAACTATCGACATCCAGACAACAGTATGTTTTGAAGTCCTGGTCAAGGGTCTGACTACCCCAATATTTCCAAAGCAGCATCCAGAATCATCAATATTATTTGGCAACATACTAGCCAAACATCACCAACAAATGGGTGCTGGAAATCATAAAAAACAGTTATTGCATTCCATTCACAACTGTCCCCCCACCCCTACTCGTCCCTCTTCAAGTACCCCTCTCATGAGAGCCTGCTCTTTCAAGAGGCAGAGCACCTTCTTAACCCAGGTGCTATCAAAGAGGTACTGAAACACAGGGGCAAGGGTTTCTACTCACATTATTTCCTTACCATCAAGAAGTCAGGGGAATGGAGACCTATACTGGATCTCAGCAAACTCAATCACTAAGTCAAATACCAACACTTCAAGATTGTTACCCTGGCTACGATTATACCTGCCCTGAAGCATGGCTCTCTACCCTCAACCTCCAGGATGCTTATTTCCACATATCAATCCACACACCACACAGATGCTCCGCAGCCACAACAAACTCTCCTTCGTTTTATAATAAAGGGCAGACATTTCCAATATAGAGTGCTACCATTCAGTCTCTCGACCACATCAAGTATTCTCAAAAGTACTTGCAGTAATTATGGCACACTTAGGCAAAAACCGAATTATGATATTACCCTATCAAGATGATTGTCAGTGACTAGAATATTGACTGTCCGATAAACAAATGTATATCAGATAGTCGATTAGTCGTTCACATCCTTACTCCACTCTAGGTGTCAGTATGTCCCAAAACCCGAGATCAGATATTTCCACAGCAGTAGTCGGTTAGGCTCTGCATGCATAGTAGCAGCTTTGAGGTGTTAGTGCTTAACATGCAGATGGCCTGACCCACCTCAGTTCCTTCTCTACTGTCCGTGGCTGTAGACTGAGCACCACAGCAAAGCTTCTCATGCCTCTGAAAAACAAAGTTAGAATTATAATTTTAATGCACCCTTAGTTAGCTGATACCCCCAGACTTTGTTTTTCCTCAAATAAAAATTAAAAAAAAAACAACCCACAACCCTTAGTTCCCCCCCCCCCCTTTTCCCTCTCCCACCTTTAGTTTTATAGGAGTAAGGTTCCCCCCCCCCCCATATTGGGCAGTCACTCCTACCCCATGACTAAAAATGCCTGACTGACAACATGCCGGGCTCTCCAGGTTTCAAGACGTATGACTCCTGTCGTAAACCAATATGTGTCTGACAGCCACTTCTGCATCTGCTGCTTAGGGGACACACACGTTCCCCGAAAATGCTCACACTACAGCAATCTGAAGGCAAGGACCATGTGTGACAGGGAATGCTGACTCAAAATTATCTTAATGGAGAAATCAACAGATCCTACTGCAGCAGGTGCAAAAAATCAACCAACCAACCAAACAGCGATTAAGATCACCTTCCTCACAGATGAAGCCATTATGGAGCCCACAAAGAATTTCTGACAAACTCCTGCTTCAGCACCACCAACCAAGAAAAGGGCTGACAAAGACATGGACTTCCCATTTTCACATCCACAACTCGATTCCCTGCTGATAGATGTGATTAGTCACTGCAACAAAGAGCCTTCCCCTTCCCCCTCCCCACTACCATCACTGTAGATGCAGCTGTCGCTTCACCTCAAAACTTGGCTCTTCTGTGATTCCAACAAGAAGTAACCTGCTCACAGGGAATAAAACACAGCCTGTTAAATAGCCATCAATCCACCACAAGAAATATTTACCTCCATAAGTGGAAAAGATTCTCTCTCTGGTGCCAGCACAAACAACTCCTCCCTACTGAAACATCACTCCCAATCATATTGGACGACATTCTTGAACTTAAACAGTCAGGCTTTGTGGTCAGCTTACTAAATGTTCATTATGCTGACATTACAGCCTTTCATAAAAATTAGATGGATTTTTCCATTTTTGCAAACCCACTCACCAGATGGTTTCTGACAGGCATCCAAGATGTCTGCCCTCCAGTCTGACAGCTTATCCCATCATGAACCCTCAAAACCCTCACTCAACCACCCTTAGAGCTATTAGCTACTTGCTTACTACTACATGTCAATGAAGGTAACTATACACCGTTTAGTAACTATAATATCGGCCAGACGAGTTAATGAGATTAAAGCTCTCAGGGCTGATAATAGTGTAAGGGGATTCAAAGACAAAAATCGAGATGTGACCACACCTAGCATTCTTACCAGAAGGGGCCTTTCATATTAAATAAATCCATAAACTTACTAGTATTCTATCCCAAACCACACAAGGACCCCCAAGAAGCCACCCTGCACTTTGTAGGTCTGACAAGTTATTGCTTTTTACATTATAGAATGAAACTGTTCTGCAAATCACCACATGTATCCATGACAAAACCCCCCCTGCCAATGTAAGGACTCACTCTGCTTGAGCCACCGTGACCTCAGATGCCTTTCTGCATAATGTCCCCTTAGTAGACATCTGCCGGGCTGCTACCTGGACCTCAGAGCACACCCTTCGCAAAACATTATGCAATCATCTCCAGCCCCATTCTTGGCACAGCAGTCAGTCTAGCTGTGCTCTCTTCCACTCTCAATACAGGACAATATAGTAACAGGGACACCACTTACAAAAGTTACTCACTTTGTGCAGTAATGATGTTTCTTCGAGAGGCGTGTCCTTATGGGTACTCCACAACTTCCCCTCCCCCCCCCCTTACTTCAGATTCCAGATTCTTGACAGTGTAGAGAAGGAACGAGCACATGATGTGTTAGGTGTTAACACTTCAGAACATCTACCATGCATGCATGGCCCAACCGACCACTGCTGTGAAGATCCCTGGTGCCGGGATCTTTGAAATGTTTTCTTCCTACAGGCTCTCCTTTCCCTCTGTTGTGGAATTTAGCTTCATAGTTAAGGAACTGAGTGGCAGCAGGTTTGTACCTTCCTGGATGCTCCTCTCGGAGCAGCTGGAGCTGCTTTGTGCAAGCATGAGCTTGTAAACACTATGTAACATGCCCAGTTGAGTGTGCACAAGCATGCATGCACTCAGGAGCACTTCTAGGGACATAACTTGAACTCAGGTTGCTGTAAAGTAATCAGCTTCTTCTGGCCATGCAGCAAGTCCATTTGATGAATCCCAAGTATCAACAAATACTAGGTTCACATTTCACATGCTTCCCAAATAAAGTGATGATAAGCACCACTGATGCTTAGATTCTGCTTCAGTTGGTCTTGCAGCATAACGTGCTACTTAGGTCTTATGTTCTTAGCTAGCTAGAAGCTTGTAACACCAAAAACCTTACCAGCTGGCAACTAGTTTTAACATCTCTCTTCCACGTTTAATATAAAGTCTCCTTGAGACCTCAGGCAGAAGATTTTAATCACTTTAGATGGCAACTCCTGTAGTTGACAACAGCACTTGGTTTCTTCCATGAACAAGATTTACTGCATCTAGTGATAATTAATTAGATGTATGCTACTTGAAAGAAAAATTAGGAAGTGGTTAGCTCTCTCACATATGAAAGCAGACTGAAATTTATCAAAATAAGCCCTTTTGATAGAGCAAGTCAGAGACATCTCAATGTCACTGTTTATCATAAAAATAAATTTATTTTAGACAATCAAAAACAAATTATGTACAAAATGTACATTGGGTAGAGTTTTTTTTTTTAACAAATATACACATCCACGCTTTTGCTACATGTGATAGATGCTTACAATAGTTTCATAAGCTATAGATTATAACTTGGTGTCCATTATAACATTACCATCCTGGTCCTTAACTCTTATTCTCCCACAGACATATTTTGTTTCCTGGTGTCCATTTGTATATACAGTCTTGACAGTTCCATCTGGATATTCACGTCTCTTGAACTGTGATGTATGCAGCTCTCTCTGGCCATTGTTAAATTCTATAGTTTTGCTGCCATCTCTGTATGAAATGAACATAAAATATACAAAAGGCACTGTACATAGATAGATAAGGCCAGCCTTGAACTGAAATTTCAACACCATACTAACAGTAGGCAGAGATTTTACTGAATGTACAAACTTTGTAAAGATTCTCAAAAGAGCATATACTATTTTTCCAGAATTTTGTAGACAAAGAACTTTCAATAAATCACAAAGTTAAATACCGTCTCAGCTGATCACTAGTGTTACAGTTCATTTTAAACACTACTATAGCTGCTTTCTGAAGGCAATTTTAAAAATATCAGAGACTGTCTTAAGAGTTTAAGCAAGGAAGGAGAGGCAGAGATTGCTGAGAAGTAAGAGTATGTAAATCATTAGCAGCATGCATTTTTGGAACATTTATTCTTGGTTTAGTTAACTCTAGGTATAGAATACAGCTTACCATCCTACCGAAAGCACTGGAAGGCCCAAACAGAATTTCTCTAATGCAGGAAAAGTATTTAAGCATATGCTAATGAGCTTTCCTGATTCAGGGCCTATATTAGGTTATGCAATTTTTTAAAAAATGGATGCTTGGACATCTGTCTTTTAAAAGATTACTTCATATAAATAAATTATTCAGTATAAAATGCTACATTACTTCTATGTCAGACAAGATGTATCACACATTTTCAACTGTAAGCTTCTTGAGAGCTGAAGGTGGATCTAACTCACAGAAATACAAATATTCATCTCTTATACAATCCATCTTAACTTGACAACGAGCACTGTATACAGAAAATAAGTATTCAAGAAAGGCTGGATGAACATCATTGTGCCAAGGACTCTTTTCCCCTTGTATTGTGTAGGAATCTATAGGTTATATTTAAAATAAAAAATTACCTCTGCACATGAACAATAGTGCCATCTGGGAAAATGCTTTCCTCTCTCCCATCCATAAATAAGTTCTTAATCGTTTGATCAGGAAAAGTAATTTCTTTCCTTCCATCAGGGTAATGCTTTTCTGTTAAAATATATACATTTTGTTTCAAAATAACTGAAGTTTTTATATAAACATTAAAGAATACAGATAAAAGGTTCATAGTTTTTACCTATTTGCCCATTTGAGAAATGCAAAACCTCTAATCCATCAGGGTACGTAGTATGAGTTGTCTGGGCATCTGCATAATAGTAAATCTGTAGAGAAGAACAGATCGTAAGTGTCTTTAAAAACATCTGGCCATATAAACTGTTAGAAAGATAAATTGGATACATACCACTCTTTGATCTGGCATAACCTGTTTCACGTCTCCATTAAAGAAGGTTACAGTTATTGTCTTTCCATCCAAACTCACTTCTTTTCGTGTTCCATTAGGGAAAAATAGAAGATGGCAGCCATTTTTTAAAATCTTTTCAACCTAAAAAGTATATTAAATAGAAGTAGATGTTCAGCAATAAAACAGTATATTAACTAACTTTAGAACAATTTCAATTAAAATTAAATTTGGCCTTTTTAGCAGTTTGACAGAGTTCTAGCTATTGATAGGCAAACCAGCATTCAGATGAATATTTGTCTGACTGCCCAGAATTTAAGAGTGAATTCTTTGAGAGCAAAGATTTAAGTTTGCTCTTCGCATCCAATAGTGAATTTCCCTAACTTTTCACTGTCTGGTTTGACCCAATAATAGTAGTAAAATACAACTAGAGATTCTGTTAAGGAACCAGAAAGCAATATTTAGGACTGACCATTATGAATTTGTCAACCACGTCAATGAAACAGTTTTTCACACTATGTCAAACCATATCTCCAATAAGCAAATACATTATTTTCTTTTCCTTTAATTATATACATTCTTGTTAAAATGGGCATCTGGCCCAGTGACCATTTTTTCACATAAAAGTCAGAAATATTATTTGTAATACAGCACTTGGAAAAATCTGATCATGTACTTCAACTAATAGGCTACGTCTAGACTACAGGCTTTTGGTCGACAGAAGTTTTGTCGAAGATACTGTCGACAAAGCAAACCGCTTTGTCAACATGACAGTGTAGATGCAAAGGACAGTGTAGATGCAATAATGCCTTCTGTCGACAGAACTCTGTTGACAAAAGGCGTTATTCCTCATAGCATGAGGTTTAGAGCTGTCAGCAAAACTCAGCGGCAGTGTAGACGCAGGTATAGTTTTGTTGACAGAAGTCAACTTTTGTCGACAAAACCCTGTAGTCTAGACACACCCTTAGGGTAGGTGCTATACAAACAGAATAAAAAGTCCCTGACCCAGAGAACTTGAAGTTTAACGAACAGATAGATGGGAGGGTACAAGGAACAATTGAGAATTGTGTGGGCTTTTTTGGGATGGGGGGGGGGGGACGACTGATTTAGGTCATTTCCAATCAGACTCAAGCAAGAAGCCATCCTATGTGTATGTATGGAACAGTTTACAACGCACATTTTATAAAATAGTGATTTAGGGATTCTGATTATAACATTTATCTTGAACTCTGCCTGCCTCACAAATGAAAGGGACACTCATCACCAGGCCCATATATAAAATGAATGAGACACACAATACAGGCCTGGCTAAGATGAATTCCCCTGGTAGAGTGAGGTCATTGCCTAGATCTGTTCTCTGTAGCCTCTCAGAAGAAATTTGATCTTACCTTTCCATCAGGATAGTTAATTTCCTCCTGTATTTCTTCACTGCTTGTAGACACAGTAGTAGGGGACTCTGATGGCATACATGTTTCAGTAGGAGACATGTCCTGAAATTAAAATATATTTCTAGTAAGCAAGCGTGACAGAATGCAATCCTGTATTCACCCCCCTCCACAAACATATCTGCGTCTTAGCAGACTGCAGCATGAAACCACCACCAGACCC